GGAAATCCAGTGACGCACTCCCATCTCTCTGACTATTTGCAGGCTCACGAATTCATCTTGGTGGATGACTACCCGGTGGTGGAAGGTGGCGCTGTGCATACGACCATGTATACTGGGCCTGGATGTGGATCGAACAACAGCAGCGGCGGTCGGACTCAGCAACGCGGCGGCGGCCGTTGGTGGCCGAGGTGGCCAGCACCGTGGTGGGCGTGGTGGTCACGGAAATCAGAGGTGTCAAATCTACAGGTCACACGGGCACTCTGCCGTGTATTGTTACAAGAGATACACTATGCAACCGCCGGCCCAAGCCCATGTGGTTGTTTCCGGCGAGGTTCCGCCGTCCTCCGCATCATTGCCGGCCGACGGATGGTATCCCGATACCGGGGCTACTGCGCACGCCACCCCCAATGCTTCCATGATGGGCCACTCGGAAGAATACGGTGGGCCGGACGTCCTTCGCGTGGGCAATGGCGCAGGTTTGGCTATCTCGCGAGTCGGTCATGCATCTCTCCCGTCCAATTCTAAGTCTCTTTATTTAAATGACGTGTTACATGTCCGAGTCTTTCGGTCCCCTTGTTGTCTGTCCATAAATTTACTGTTGACAACATAGTATTTTTTGAATTTCATAATGACTGTTTTTTTGTGAAGGACTCCACAACCAAGGCGGTTCTGCTTAGAGGTCCCACTTCTGGCAGATCGTACAAATTCCCGGTGTCACGGTCACAATATGCGTTCGTCAGTTCCCAAGCCACTCCTACCATTTGGCACCGCAGACTTGGTCACCCGCATAAACAAGTCTTGAATAAAATCCTGAAAAGTTTTCTCGTCACGGCCATTAAACTCGAGCCACCTAAATCTTGTGCATCGTGCCATCTTGGAAAGTCGTCTCGGTTTAAGCTAGATAGTGTACCCCATTCTTGTAAAAATGTACTAGATTTAATTTTTACAGACATTTGGGGTCCCTCCCCTGTACTATCTAGTAGTGGTTTTCGGTATTTCTATTTGTTTGTAGATGACTATTCCAGATTTTGCTGGTTTTACCCATTACGGGTGAAATCTGACATATATAAAGCATTCGAGTCGTTCCATGTGTTGGTAGAGTGCCAGTTTTCACGCTCTATCAAGTCTATTCAATATGATCTAGGGGGTGAGTACCGCAAACTCCACACCACATTTCAATCTTTAGGCATAAACCACCGCCAATCCTGTGCCTATACACATGAACAAAACGGCAAAGTAGAGCGCCGTAACAAGTATATTGTCGAAACAGGACTGGCTCTACTTGCTGAAGGCAAGGTCCCACAACAATATTGGGATTACGCCTTTGAAACTGCAACCTGATTAATCAACTATTTGCCATCATCAACCCTTAAATATGAAAGCCCATACACCCGTCTATTCAAAGTCAGCCCACCTTATTACTTTCTTCGCGTCTTTGGATGTCGGTGTTACCCATATCTGCGTCTGTACAACCGGCACCAGATTGAGTACCGCTCCACTCCGTGCGTCTTTCTAGGTTACCCACCCTCCTTTAGGAGATATAGATGCATTGACTTGGCGACCGGGAAAACTTATATTTGTCGCCATGTGTGGTTTGACGAGTCTGTTTTCCCTTTTGTAACAGGATACCCCAAACAGGTACCTACCCCGCCGGCGGTACCTTGGGCAGCTGCGCCCTTAAATTCACCGGGCCCAGCGGGTGCCACTACTGTGCTTCCTGTTTTAGCGCACTTTGAAAGTGAGCATATGCCTCTGGCAAGGGACCCGCCACAACTAGCAATCACACAGACGGCCTCGGTGAGGGCACGCAAGCCTTGGGCACAATCTCAAGGTCGGGATCATGTTATGCGCCTCCGTCACATGACCAAAGGCACAAATGAGCCCTATCATGCTTTAAGCGCGGTAGCCGATCCCACGTGTTACTCCAGGCTGTGGGGCATGCGCACTGGCGCGAAGCTATGGACCAGGAGTTTAATGTGCTATTGCATAATCAGACCTGGCGACTGGTTCCTCCAGAGCCGCACATGAACATAATTGGGTGCAAGTGGGTATTTCGCACGAAGCGCACTGCGGATGGCTCAGTGGAGCGCTACAATGCTCGGTTGGTGGCGAAAGGGTTCAATCAGGTTGCAGGAGAGGATTTCTTCAATACATTCAGTCCGGTAGTCAAACCGACCACGGTGAGGCTCTTGTTCTCCTTAGCTGTGACCAACAAGTGGACTCTCCGGCAACTGGATGTACACAATGCTTTTCTAAACGGCCATCTGGCCGAAACGGTGTACATGAAACAACCCCCAGGGTATGAGGATCCATCTACACCAGGGCATGTTTGCCATCTACAGCGGTCTCTGTATGGTCTTAAGTAGGCTCCGCGTTCTTGGTTTAAGCGGCTTCACAACTTCTTATTGTCTGCAGGTTTTAAGTCGTCCAAGACCGATGTCTCTCTGTTATACTACACTTCAGGCACTGCCCGTGTATTCCTGCTTGTCTATGTTGATGATATTATTATGATGGGCAACGATGCTGTGCTAGTGACCACTCTTCTTCAACGCATGTCCTCTACCTTCAAGATTCGTGACCTTGGTCCACCAGGCTTCTTCTTGGGTATTGAGACTGTGTTGTCTACTGGTGGCATGATTCTATCTCAGCGTCGATATATGTCTGATCTTCTGGGGCGGTCCGGTATGGTGGACAGCAAACCGCTTGCTACGCCTGCGGCTGTCACAAAGGCAACCATTCCATCCTCACAACCTTTTGAGAATCCGACACAGTATCGTCGTATCGTCGGGGCCCTACAATACTTAACCATTACAAGGCCAGACCTAGCCTATGCAGTCAACTGCCTATGCCAGTTTATGCACTCACCGACAGATGAGCATTGGGGTCTAGTGAAACGTGCGGTGCGCTACATCAAGGGCACTCTTAATTATGGGTTCCGCATCTCACCGTCCCCGTCCACCGATATACATGCTTTTTCAGACTCCGACTGGGCTGGCTGTCCGATTGATATGAAGAGTATGAGTGGGTTTGCGGTATTCTTAGGTGACAATCTCGTCTCCTGGCTCTCAAAGAAGCAACGGACCGTCGCTCGATCCTCCACAGAGGCTGAATACAAAGCCTTAGCTGATGTCTCCACCGAGGTCACTTGGGTCATCTCTTTACTACGAGAGCTCGGGCTGCACTCTGGCAACCCGTCGAAGCTGTGGTGTGACAATCTTGGGGCTACTTACACGTGTGCTAATCCGGTCTTCCATGCACGCACCAAACATGTAGAAATTGACTAGCACTTTGTTCGTGACAAGGTGACGTCTAGCGACTTCCTCGTCAACTATGTGTCCACGACGGATCAGCTAGCGAATATCTTCACCAAACCTCTGCCGGCTCCTCAGCTCGGTTTACTGCTATGCGTGACAAGCTCAATGTTGTAGCCCTCCATCCTTGTGCTTGAGGGGGTGTGTTAGTATAAGCTATTATTATTATTGTTATTATTGTTTTATATTCTATAGTTATATTTTGTGTGGCTTTAGATAGGTTGACTTGGTGTAATCTATTTGTTAGGATTAGTTAGAGTTAGATATACTTTGTAATCCTGCAGTTGCGTTAATCAATTGGGAAAGCCTATTCTAATCCCCTTTGTCCATTTTATCTATCTTATTACTTATTATTCATTGGTCAACCCAACTCTTTTTTCTTTACTTATTTCTATTAACATTTTCTTATAATTTTCAATTTTAATTTTTTGTATTTAATAATACTTTTAATATAATTTCTAAATATATACATTTTACACATAATAATTCTAATCTTAATATTATAAAAAAATTAATTGTAAATAATTTTAGTAAAGTGACGTTAATCGAATCTAATTTTAGACCAAAAATGTATAATATTGGTTAATACCTACGAGTTTATGGAGAAATTAAAGGGAGATAGCAAAAAACACGTGCATGATTATTAAGGCTCCATGCATCTAGTTGCTTGGTCAGACTATAATAATTCGATTTTCATAGACTTTGGTTTTGGCAAAACGTACGGTTTTGGTTTTGGCAAAACATACGACTTTGATTTTTGGACTGTCAAATCTAAACGTCGCATTGTATCTACCCCTGCGGGCATTCTTATCTACGGACTCTATTTAATCCCATGTTGCAGCCTTTAGTCAATTGACTTAATAAAATATTACTCTCGTTATCCCATTTTACATGTCTAATTGAAATAACGAGATTTGTCTGAATTTACATTTAATTCATTATTTCATAATATTAAGTTTAACGAGTTAATACCATCTGAGGTCCCCCGAATATAATGATTTTGCCATGTTTAGTCCTAAATTTTCAAATTGACCATATGTGGTCCTTCGACTTTCAAACTTAACCATTCGTGGTCCAAGTTAACCTCATATGGTCCTTCAACTATTAAATTTTAACAATCCATGGTCCTTTCATGAGGACCACTACTGGTTAAATTTCGAAACTTGAAGGACCATGAGTGGTTAACTTGGACCACGAATGGTTAAATTTAAAAGTCGAAGGACCACAAATGATTAATTTAAAAGTTTATGATTAAACATGGCAAAACCACTATACTCGGAGGACCTCATATGGTGTTAACTCTAAGTTTAACATTAGTATACAAAATTTATATATTTAGAAACTACACTAAAAGTACTATTAAACACAAAAATCATATTTAAAAATAAGTAAAAACATATTTATATATAAAAAAGAAAGATTAGAATTAATTTGACCAATTAATAGTAAGTATGACAGATAAAAAAACACTGAATAAGTAGTATTGAGTATTTGTAAGAGATAATAATTTTTATTGGTACTCATCAATTAATTGATAGTACGTAATTCATTTAACACCTACTCTTGACCCATCATATTGATAGAAATAAATAAATAAACAAACCCGAATTTAAAGTCAAAGGCGGCTTGGAATATTTATCTAACCTAGCTATGCATTGAAGTACTAACATTTTGGTATAAAAAGGGTATTAATGTAGCTTCTCAGATCATCAAGCAAACAATCACGTATAGAGATTAGATCATAAGTTCGAAGAAGTTAAGGTATCATATCATGGCCACAGCTTCCAAAATTGGGTTCCTCACTCTCCTCGTCGTTTGGGGTATGCCTTCATACCTTCTTCTTTTCTTACCTAATAAAAGTGTTTACTTATAACAACACATTAATATATAATAATTCAACGTCTTCTATATTTTCGAATGTAAAATTTTCTATTATTATTATTATTATTATTATTATTATTATTATTATTATTATTATTATTATTATTATTATTATTATTATTATTATTATTATTATTGTTATTATTATTGTTATTGTTATTGTTATTGTTATTGTTATTGTTATTGTTGTTGTTGTTGTTGTTGTTGTTGTTGTTATTGTTATTATTATTATTATTATTATTATTATTATTATTATTATTATAATAATAATAATAATAATAATAATTATTATTATTATTATTATTATTATTATTATTATTATTATTATTGAAATTGCAATTTTCATCTCTAAATTATAAGATAATTGTAGGATTCATCCATACTTGTTAGTTGTGCTCACTTCCCATCCCTAAGCTATAACTGGCGTTATAAATTTCGTCATTTTTGTAGCAGGTCATGCTCACTTCTTGTCTCTATGCTATATAATTGACGTTGCAAATTTCGTTGTCTTTAATGTTTTGTTAGAAAAAGAATGAAATTAATTACAACTTCAATTATAGCTTAGTGACGAAAAGTGAGCACGACCAACAAGTAGGAACGAATCATACAATTACCTTATAACTTAGGGACGAAATGTGTAATTCCTTCTTATTATTATTATTATTATTATTATTATTATATTAAATTACACATTTATGTTTTATATATTATATGCGCAGCTTGTCCCAAACCTTTAATTTTACATGAATGACGACACTGATACCAAATTGAAATAGTTGAAATGTATATTTATGTTTAATATAGAGGAAATTTCAATTTTGGTCATATGACTATAGGGATATTGTTAATTTTAGTCCCTGACTTTTAAAAGTGTCAATTTAGTACCTTAACTATGCAATTTTTATCAATTTTGGTCACTCCGGCCAAATTGCCGGTCAAATTTCGCCGGAAAATTTTAATAATTAAAATAATGAGGGTATTTTGGTCGTTTCACGCCTCTTTTCTTCTTCTTCGGCGAGTCCATCCCTTTCTCTCTCGTTTCCGGCGTTCTTTCTCCCTGTAAACCCTATCTTTAATATCATTAAGCCTCCTTTCCCCATCATCTTAGTTCATTGCATTCGCCGGAAACAGGAGAGGAAGGAATGGACTCGCTTGGGAAGAAGAAAAGAGACGTGAAATGATCAAAATACCTTCATTATTTCAACAATTAAAATTTTCCGGCGAAATTTGGTTGGCAATTTGACCGGAGTGACCAAAATTGACAAAAATTGCATAGTTAAGGTACTAAATTGACACTTTTAAAAGTCAATTACCAAAATTAACAAGACCCCTATAGTCATATGTTCAACACATCCTCATCACTAACTAACTATCCAAACCTTTTTACTATCAAATTAAAATTTATATTGAGTAATATAATTATTGCTTACTATATGAATAATGTTTGTGTGACAGGCATTCTTGTATTAGGATCCAACATGGATCAAGCAGAAGCCCAAGCATGCCCTAGAAATTGTGACCCAGATGCAGACTACATGATTTGTCCACCTGATACCACTCAAATTCGTGAGATATGTCAAAACTGTTGCACAGCAAAAGCTCGAGGCTGTCAACTCTATCGCAATGATGGAAGTCCCATATGTAACTAATTAATTTCAGAAACAAATCTCAACATCATGTGTAGTACTTGCAATATATGGACTAGAAATAAGGCCGCCCAAGTCTCACAGGGTGAAGAAGATATCATTTTAATTTTAATGTGTTAAAAAAAATAAAATTGTAATAGTAATTACTGAATAATTAAGAAGGCTAGACACTTACTACTGTTAGATATATTAAATATAATATATTTAATATAATATATATTAAATATAATATAATATATCTATAATATATATATTAAATATAATATGTATATATATTATATGTATATATATTGAGAAGAGAGAGAGGGAGGAATAGATAACTTGATTGATAATAAAAGTTTGAATACAAAGACTATTTATACTAGATAAGATAACTCAAATGCTAAAATTAAGGAATTAATGCTCCATGTAAAGCTACAATTAAGGCCACAATCTATGTAGTGATACCATGCATAACCCACCTACTACATCCATGCATTATTCATAACAAACTAATTTAATACTTGGTTTAACCATTACTAATAATAATAATAATATTATTATTATTATAACATTGCCTCCTTTAAACCAAGTTGGATATATTGGTCATCCCAATATCTCCTTCTTCAATTTAAGAAATGTCTCCGTCTTCAAGTTGGATATACTGACTTGTATTTCGTTCTGTAAAGCCACTTGACTCCAATTGACTTCTTTTCAGGAGGTAATTCTGTTAATTCCCGAGTACCATTCTTTTCAATGACACGTATCTCTTCATCCATCGTCTTAAGCCAATGAGTTTCCGTAGCAGCCTCCTCAAAAGTTAAAGGATCACAATCTGCAAAGAGAGCAAATTGAATAATCTCTTCATCAGACAGGTCATTATCATGACCCAAAACATAATCTTGCAAGCGAGCTGGTAAGTGGCGCTCGCGCTGAGATCGTCGAACTGACGACTCTGGCTCTGAAGGAGACTGGACATTATCTGGAATCGGTTGCTCTTCAACAATATTTTCAACAGCAGGAATAACAACTGAACTTTCATCTTTAGCTAACCAATCCCAAGCACCATATTCATCAAAAGTGACATCACGACTTATAACAACCTTTTTAGTTTTAGGATTGTATAGTTTATAAGCATTTGAAGCGTCACTATAACCAATGAATATGCACTTCTCACCTTTATCATCCAACTTCTTTCTCAATGGATCTGGCACATGTGCATATGCCAAACATCCAAAAACCTTGAGATATTTGATAGAGGGTTTTCTCCCACTCCATGCTTCTCCGGGCGTCTTATCACACACACTTTTAGTTGGACACCTATTCAACACATAGACAGCACAAGCAACAGCTTCTGCCCAAAAAGGTTTAGGCAGATCCTTGGATTTCAACATGCACCTTACCATATCCATGATAGACCTATTCTTCCTCTTAGCCACTCCGTTTTGTTGTGGAGTGTATCTAGCTGTCATCTGATGTTGAATACCCTTCTTTTTTAGAAAATCATCACAGGCAATATATTCTGTACCTCTATTAGTTCTCAAGATTTTAATCTCATAACCACTCTGCTTTTCAACAAAAGCCTTAAATTGTTTGAAAACATCACATGCTTCATACTTTTGCTTCAGAAAGTAAACCCATGTTTTTCTACTGAAATCATCAATGAAAGTAATAAAGTACTTACAACCTCCATGTGAAGGAACCTCCAACGAACACAGGTCTGAGTGAACAATCTCCAACTATTTTGTAGCTCTCCTTGACTTGCCCACAGGGAAGGGATCTCTATGCTTCTTCCCAATCACACAAATCTCACATATACGATCAGGGACATTCACAACAGGTAAATCAGAAACAAGTTCCTTTCTCGCAAGATAGTTTAATCCAGAGAAATGAAAATGCCCAAACCGCATATGCCATAACCAATTATCATCACAAACTTCAGAATTAAAGCAATCAAGGAGAGTATGCTTAATTTTCAAAGGAAATAGTCGATTTTGGGACATATTTACCTTTGCAATCAAAACTCCTTTAGCATCTTCAATGGTACAACACCCCTGAGCAATATGTATCTTATATCCTTTTTCTGACAACTGACCCAAACTCAATAAATTTTGGTGTAGTTCAGGAACATAGAACACATCGGATATAAAATTGTAAGTACCATCCTTCAACTGAATAGAGATTTTACCTTTTCCCAAAATTGGCACCTTTGACTTATTGCCAAACGTTACTTCAGACCGGACTGATTCATCCAGTTCAGAAAACAATTCTTTCATCCCACACATATGGTTACTACACCCAGTATCCAAGAACCATATGTTCTTATCTGCAGAAAAACTATCGTTGGCTAAAAGTAAAGTTTCAGAACTCTCACCAGACTTTTCAGCAGTATTTTCAATAATGTTTGCTTGATTTCCACGATTGTTGTCCTCATTATACCAACAATCTGCAATCTTGTGCCCATACTTGCCACAATTGTAGCAATGAAATGGAAATTTACCTTGTTAGGTATTACCTCCACCTCTTCCTTGGTTGGAGTTACCACGTCCTCCTCCTTGGTTGAAGTTACCACGACCTCTTCCACTAGAACCTCCTCTTCCTCTTCCACGACCTCTACCAGATCCTCCACCTCTTTGATTAGTGCCAGTCACATTAAGGGTGACTTGACTCTTCAAAGCTTCTTCTGCTAGTGGTTCCGATTTTGACGCAATCCTGTCAATATGACTTTCTACCATACCTTTCAGCTCTGCAATTGATAAGAGCTCAGTTTTGTGTGACTCTGTGATCGAAGCCACCACATGGTCATACTTCATCGGCATAGTTCGAAGAACTTTTTCAACCACTGCATCATCTTCAATCCTATCTCCATATAGCCTCATCTTATTCACCATATCAATAAGACGAGTGAAATACGCATCTTCTGTTTCTGTAGAGGTCATCTCACAATTATCATACAACCTTCTCAACGACTGCAACTTAGACTTCTATGCCCGATCGACTCCTTTGTGTGACACCTTTAAGATGTCCCAAGCTTGTTTTGCTGTTTGAGCATGAGCTAATTGCCCAAAAATGGAATAATGAACACCTTGGTGAATCTGACCCAAGGTAAATTTATCTCGCCGTATAGCGGCTGCATCAGCTCCTTCGGGTAGACCGGGATCAACAAAGCTTCAAAGATTTTGAGCTTGCAAATGTGTAGACATCATAATTTGCCAATAATTGTAATCGAGTTTCCCGTCCAATTTGGGACCCGTCCATACAATATTGAAATTTGCAGCCATATTTCACTACGAACAATACCTCGGGGTTGAAAGGTTGACTGGCTCTGATACCAAATGTTAGATATATTAAATATAATATATTTAATAATATATATATTAAATATAATATAATATATCTATAATATATATTAAATATAATATATCTATATATTATATTTATATATTGAGAAGAGAGAGAGAGGGAGGAATAGATAACTTGATTGATAATAAAAGCTTGAATACAAAGACTATTTATACTAGATAAGATAACTCAAATGCTAAAATTAAGGAATTAATGCTCCATGTAAAGCTACAATTAAGGCCACAATCTATGTAGTGATACCATGCATAACCCACCTACTACATCCATGCATTATTCATAACAAACTAATTTAATACTTGGTTTAACCATTACTAATAATAATAATATTATTATTATTATTATAACATCCCTTCTTTCTTTATTACATTGTAATAGATTTCGCATTACCGTGCGGTAATTATATATAATATTTAACTAATGTAATCCCCGAGTGATTCATCTTTTTTTCTTCTTTTTCAAAAAATGCTCGTTTGATCCTAATATTATTTTGACATGATCATTTTTGGTTTTCCTGTGTGCGAGTGAGAACCTCTAAGGTATACCATTCAAACACTTTCTAAAATGATATTGTATATATAATGATGCAAATCGACTTTCCAAATCAATGTGAGACAAATGCTTCTTCCAAGCCTTTTCGCATTCATTTTTCAACCCAAATTGATCTACTTTGAGAACAATTTCTCATTCACCCATTATTCGTTTTTAGTGTATAATATACCGATTTCTCTTTAACACTAAGAGAACCTGAATCCACTTTGATCCAACCCAAACCGGTAGTAGACCCCACATATATTTTTACCACAAAATAGCTATTTAAAATGACAAATTTATGCTATTTTTCCAACAAAGTAGAGAAAAAAGACAAGATACAGAGAGGATCATTAATCCTTCATTCCTTTGTTATTCATTATCATTCAATCCAATAAATGCATGATATATAGAGTTTCAGTATAACTATAAGATTATAAAGGATGAAGAGGTATTATTGATGGCCTTGCGTGACAATATATCCAACTTCCAACTTATTTTTGTACATGTTTTCTCCAAATTGCTGTTTTTTTTTTTTGAAAGTTACTGGCTCTATTACATTGTAGTATCTGTTCATATACTTTCTCAACCTACTGAAACACAAAGAACCAATAACGCCTCCACTGAGGCTTGAACTCATAATCTTCCAAATGGAAGTCCAACCCGGATACCATTAGACCACATAGTCCTGGTCTCCAAATTGTTGTTGATTTGGCCTTTTTTTTTTTTTTTTTTTTTTTTTTTTTTTTTTTTTTGCGTTCAAAACAATATAATGGTTTCAATTAGCTCCTCCAACAAAATTTATCACATAATTAGTTACTTTAAGCACAATTTAAGCAATTTTAATCCAAAACTGGTCAATTAATTCACCATAAAAATAGTACAATTTAGTACTTAATTATTATAATTTAATATTGCTAGCTAGTAATATCCACATATATTTATTTACAACCATAACAACAATTATGCAATTCTAATTACATATTTTTCTTCAATGATAATCATAATTTTGATTTCAAATAAAATATTTTAGCCTTCTAATATAAATTTCTGCCTCCGCCCCTCCCTTAGCGCAAATTATGCCCTGGAAATGTGTTCACCGTGAATGGTGAGCATAAGTCCAAACGACGTCGTATTTAC